TGTCATATTATGAGTTATAACATTTGCTTTTAGCTATATGCGGGTATATATATTTGCTTTAAGGTAAAAGTAATGTGTATATTCGTGGCTTAATTACCGGTGGGACCGGGTGACATGCTGCATATTGATAAAGGTTTTTGACTTAAAATCACCAACTTTAGAATAATACTTACTTCCATTTTACTTATGTCATGTAATCGTACTCTTTGTAATAACTATAATGTGCTTGTCTTGATATTAAGTATAACTAGAATCCTGAATTTGATATTTGAAAATATTGATAACTTCTATAGGGTCTCTTATTGAAAATTTCTACACAGTCTCTTATCAATTTTAAATAATCATCTTCTTACAGAAAAGATTTTTATTGTTGAAACACACACGCTTTAGGTTAACACAGATAAATACACTGTCTTATTGATGCAACTGCCAAAAGACCAGTTTAAGAGGATGCATGTCCCCAAATATTGTTTGTGCTTTCTCTTATTCAAATTAGGCACTTTAAGTATGAATTGTCTAGATTTCAATAAATAATTTTCCTTTAATTAAAGATGAGCATATTTTTTTTCTAAGTGTTTTGAACGTGAGCTTATCTTAAATGAATATCATGCAAAATTATACATGGTGTTTAAAATGACATCTATAACTATGCTTTGTTATAACACTTTTAAAATTATTGTTGAATTTGACAGTTGTATTTCTATAAAATATTTTAAATTACTGTATTATATTATTTTAATGTTTCGTTTATTTTAATCATTTGTTTAAACAGGCATACCTTCTCAACCGAGCAAGTATAAAAATCGTTAACTACAGCAGGTTTCATAGTCATTTTTACAAATTGTGGTGAATACAAACAATATTGATTGTATTCAGTAAGCTTATTATCCGTCATGCACACGCTCAATCATTCCAGTATGCATTATTTTGTAATTATGTTGCCATTAATGTTTCAGAGGGACCATTCTTTACGCATTATTTCTGAATTTTAGACGAAGATCAAATCACTTAACCATGGGAAAAAAATCGGAATTTCAAATGTTAACTAAATACTAGTATTCTTTTGGATTCCTATCAATTACAGCTTGTAGCCTAAAGTCTTTTGTAAATTGCCAACTACAAATCAATGCATCACTTAATTTTAGATACCATTGACGTCAATTACTGAAAATAACAAACAAGCGTGTTTAATATGATATCTAATTGGCTCTCCGAGTGTGCGAAATTTCAATCTCTAAATATTAAAATTGAAATGAAGCATATCACGATTCTTTCAAAAGAACTATATCTTAAAACTTTATATAATTAACGTTTTCATTCTAAAGTAATTCTAGATTTATTACCCAATTCAACGAAGAATCATTGCTTTATACGCTCGTACACAAAAAATAACAGATTAAACAATAGGACAAATGCTTCACATTATAGCTATTGACAATGAACAAAAAATACTATTTTATTATTGCATTAAATTAAATCGATTGATAGTAAAGTACCTGTAAAGATTTGATTCCTTACAATATATATCCTGGTAAAATTTATTTATAGGAGACTTAAAGGCCAACAAAATATCACATGGCTTGTCTAAAATTATTTGTTTGTCAGCAATCATATATTAAACAAATACTCGTTTGAATTTACGGTAGATTTAAACTGATATTATTATTTTGATATGAATATGTAGTTTGATAGTCGTATGGTCAATGAAACAGGTATAAGTCTCTCTTTAGTTGTAGAAATGGCATTATATTTTCCTCTTGCCAAATTAAAACATACATCAGCTTTTTTTAGCTCACCAGAGCCGAAGGCTCAGGGTGAGTTATTAGTATCAAAAGGGGGATACTCCGGCGTCCGTCGTCATGCGTCAACAATAGTCTTCTTCTCTGAAACTGCTGGGCAGATTTAACTAAAATTTGGTCTGTAGCATCCTTGTGACAGTCACACTTAAATTTGCTCATGTCAATTCAATTGGCCTCTTTTAGGGGTCAGCAGAGCTAAAAATAGAAAAACCTTTAAACGTCTTCTACTACAGAACTGAAAGATAGATGATCACCAAACTTTGTCTGTAGCATCCTTAGGTAGTCTTTTATCAAGTTTGCTCATATTAATTTGATCTGCCCCTTTTATAGGGGTCACTAGGGCTAAAAGTAGAAAAACCTTTAGACATTTTCTTCTACAGAACCAATTGATGGATGATCACCAAACTTTGTCTGTAGCATTCTTAAATATATACTATGCTCAAATTTGATATCAGAAAATATTGATAATTGCTTCACAGTTTCTTTGTAAATATGAAATAAACATGTTTTGACTTCACACAAAGTTAATATGTCATGTTTAAAACTATACACACATAGGTTGTCACAATATGAAAATAAAGTGTCGTTAAAAAAACTGGCAGTTTTTTAAAGAAAATACCAACTTTACTTGTCCTGTATTAGAGAATGTGACTTCCAATATAGTTTATTATTCATTTTTTATTTAAATTAGATATTTTCAGTAAGAATTCCATAGGTTTTAATAAATTTCTTCGATTAAAATAATTTACCCAAAGATGTGCATAGTATATCTTTAAGTAGTCGTTTATCAAGTTTGCTCATATTAATTTGATTGGCCCCTTTTAAGGGCCGCTAAAGCTAAAAAATAGAAATACCTTTAAACGTCTTCTTCTACAGAACTAATTGATGGATGGTCACCAAACTTTGTCTGTAGCATTCTTAGGTAGTCTTTTATCAGGTTTGCTCATATTAATTTGATTGGCCCCTTTAAAGGGATCTCTAGGGCTAAAAATAGAAAAAAACTCTACAGAACTAATTGATGGATGATCATCAAACTTTGTTTGTAGCATTCTTAGGTAGTGTTTTATTAAGTTTGCTCATATTAATTTGATTGGTCCTGTTTAAGCTAAAGCTTAAATGCACTAGGTCATGGCATTTCTTTAAATTAAAGTTTTAAGATATTCTATGCTCAAAAGTTTATATTAGAAAATATTGACAATTGATACACAGTCTATAAATATAAAATAAACGTGTTTTGACTTCACACAAAGTAGACATGTTATGTTTTAAACTCTTCACACTATAGGTGGTCACAGTATAAATATAATGATAGTGTCATTAAAAAACTGTTGTTTTTTTATAGAAAATACCATCTTTACTTGGCCTATAATAGCATATGCAGTTTTCCATACACATTTTATTAATTCTTTTATCCAAATAAGACATTTTCAGTAAGAATTTCATAAATTTAAATGGCTTGGGTGACCTGTTTATTATGTGTAAATATCTTTCAGCTCTGGAATTCGGACATCATAGTGCATCATTGTAAGGTCAGTTGTAGGTCATTAACCAGGAAAAAAAATAGGCCTAAAGAAACATGAAATTTGTTTCTCCTGTACTTTACTATTAAAGATGAGTTTGTATGCTTAATTTTTTTTTGAATTTTGTTAAAAATTGTTATGTTTTTATTTTTTTTGTGGAATTAACAAGGGACAATAGGTTTAATTTCTGATCCTGAATTGAATTTGGATATAAACTGGCTTACTTTTGATATATTTGATATCGCTTTACCTACTTTTTTTGTCTTTTATGTACAGACTTGAAATAAGGACTATGGGTGTAATGTTTGATGTTGAATTCAATTTTGATACCAGCTGACCTACTTTAGGTATTATTGACACAATTTGACCCTCTTTCTTGTATTTTGACATTCAGTTTTTAAATTCGGATATTTTTGATATAATTTACGTTCATTCTTGTGTTCTTTTACATACAGACTTGAAATTTGGATGAGATCTAGGGGTGTAAATTTTTATATCAACTGGTCTACTTTTCATATTTTTTACAATGTTTGACCTATTGTCTTTTTTTGAGGTACAGTTATGGAACCATACAGAAGGTATAAAAAATTTGTTGTCCCAAACTGTGAACTTCAAACCTCTACAATTTACATGTTTTGCATGTGACATTTTGTGTTTTCATTCAAAAAAAGTTATAAAAAAGATTGTCCAATCAACATTAATCCTGCTCTAGTGGTCAGTTATTCTGCATTTATTCTACATAGTCTCATAGGAACACACTTGCAACATACATCTTTTTCACAAATCCTTTCCAAAATATTATGGCAAAATATTACAATTTATATAGTGAATAATGAAATGATGGGTTAGATGAGTCATCTAGGGCCATCTCAGTGGCCCTATTGTTAATTATGAGGAAGAAAGCTAAAACAATCAGTGTTGTGAAAGTAACTTACTAGAGGGGCAAGTTAAAGTTGAGCTGAGCTTGCCGAAAGAGCTGGACTTGCCTTTTAGCAAGTTCTTTTGAAAAATAATTTCCAACACTGAAAAGCAGTTGTTTCTGGTGAGCGACTCAGTGCTATCATGGCCCTCTTGTATTTAATATTTTCGTTTAACTTGTGAAATATATTTGTAAAGGGGAAATATTACGTAAAACGAATAGGAAATAAAATTAGCGACTTGTTATGACTGGCCTTTTAAACCCGAACTTTTCACTCGTACATAATGTAGCCAACTAACAGTCAAAGATTAGAGCATAAGTGAATGTTACCAACAGAATGTTACGCAACCAGTGTCAATGATAGCAACCATTGACTTTCCTAGAAACCAATTGTCATAGCAACTATTGATAACAATAACTACAATTAAATTTCCATAGCGATCAGTCCTTTTAGCAATCAATTAATTCCTTAGCATCAAGTGATTTCGAAAGCAACCATTTACTTCAATAGCAATAAGTCATTTCCATAGCATTAACTTCCATAACAATCACTGGCTTCCATAACCACCACTGAAATTTTGTAAGAATCCATGACTTCAGTAGCAACTTTATAAGCTTTTATTAGTCCCACAATTTTTAAAACTGTTTGCCAGGAAAAGTTCTCTTAGTACATAAACTTATAATCTTAAATTAGAAATGAATATGATCGATAGTTACACAGAATAAGGTAATTAGCATACACAGGTTTTTATTTTAGAAATTGGGATGGAAGTTTTCTCCTAATAACAAATTAAAATGGCTTCAGTACTTACGGATCACAAATTATCAAAATCGAAATTTCTTAATTGGATAAAGGCGGCATTGGCTGTGCATTTTACAAAAGAAGAGATTGAGCCTGTTGTTCAAGATGAAATAGAACAGTTCCAGCGTAGGTGTCTACAAGACATTTGCACAACAAATGGCTTACCAGTTGGGAGCATATGTACAACTTGTAACACAGAAAATGTTATTGTTTGCCCTACCGACAGAATTTGCAATGCCAAACGTGGGAAATGTAAATACCATAGAAATTTTGCGACACAGTATCGTCCATCCGGCTGCCCCAACAAAATTTGCGATCGTATGAAATCTGAGATTCAAAATGCACATCGTTTCCAAGGCCCATCATATAAAAACACGGACGCAACCAAGTGGTGCAATGATACTTGGGAAATCGCAAAGTGTTTTCTCCCTCCTGATGGTTACGCCAATGTATCGAGTGCAGCCGAAACTGATTTTAATGGCATCATCAGTGTCATAATCAATCACAAAGAATTTGAAGTGAAAATAAAGGATGACCTGTCTAAAAAGGGGAACATATTTGAAAAGGTAATACTTTTATCTTTAAACGATAATTTACAATTGTTTTACAAGTATTTGCAATATCAAATAATCGCTGCTTAACATGCAAAAACAATTTGATTTAATTTCCAATGTAAGTACATATTTAAAAACGTAGAAATAAAACAAGGAACTGGTTATTCGCTGTCTTTACATTAGTTGTCATATTTCAATTAAGGGTAGAGATGTTGGTAAAGCTGTCAGACATTCTCCTAATCTTGAAGTAGAAGATACAGATCTCTCACAGTATTTTGTCATTCTAAATGATATTTTGACTGATCCTGGATTCGTAGCCATGAATAAATCATCAAATAAAGTAATTCAGAAACTGTCAAAGGTAAGATTATTTCATTTTAGTCATCCTGTTGTTCCATGACATTTTGCGATATGTTAAAATTGTTTTAATTTAGAAATCTTAAAAGCCCTTGCAAATTTAATTTGTAAATGATCTTCCCGTCCACAAATTGTTTAAAAATTAAAATGGTAATAATGCAAAGTTTAAAAAGATTTTGTGAAACAGTTTTCATTTTGCCAATATATAAAGGCATATGTTACTATAATGGCATATATACACAATTGAAAGTATAAAATAGATTCAAACAAACAATTTATGATTCTTTACTCTGTTCTCAAAAGCTTCGAATTGAAGCACTACTTGAACATGCAATGTTACTATATCTTCTGATAGATATTGTTTCAAGATTAACTTATAACAAGAGAGCAAAGAAAATACAGATTTAACTTCGAATTGTGCACATCATTTTAAAATTCAGTTTCAAAAAAGACAGTTTCATAATGCAAATGTGTCTAGACATATGTTGCTTAAGCATTTTATTACAATTGAATTAAAAATAGATTTGAATGTTATTCTTTACTTTGTTCTCACAAGCTCCGGATAGAAGGATAACTTGAGCATGCAATGCTGCTATGTGATCAGAAAATACGTTTCGAAGAACGGAGAAAATGAAAATAATTTTTTTACTTCCTATCATGCTGACACAGCTTTTCAAACTTTCAGCTTCAAACTGATGATTTGATTATTGGTAAAGACGTTGTACGTAAAGTTTTGGAAGACGTAGGGAAAACGGTTCAAGAGCAAATACGAAATGAGATCGATGAGTACAAATATAAGACTGAGAAACAGAAGTTATTGCTGATTGACATTGTTAACTTGAAAGTTAAAGATATTGAAGATAAAGGTAATGTTTCACTTACGCAGCTGAACGATGCATTAAAATCGTGTGTTGATGCATTTGATGCAAGAGTACAAAAATCAATTCAAGAGATAGAGAATCAGACAGAAAAGGAAAAACAAAAACTAGAAACTGCTGCTAATGAAGGAGTTGAAAAGGTTACCAAAGAGGCCGAAAATGTTATAAAAGAGGTACAGAAAGCTGTGGAACAAAGACGTAAGGCACTGCTTGAATTATTTTAAATACATAGTTTGTTTATAGTTTTGCTGCCGGAGTATCTATAAATTTGCCAGTTTTTGTTCTATTTTTTTACAACTTTCTCTTCTTATTTATTAATTTACCTTTTCACACTTTTTAAAATGATTAAATTAAGATACAAAGCGTCTAGCTATAATGTTATTGAAGGACATAATTATTACATAAAATATATTTAATCTTATTTGAAATCGAGCTTACTTATTCATTAACATTAATTACATTTGGAAAACAAATTTCAGCAAGCTACAATGATGCCAATGCGGAGATGTCAGAAGAAACATATCAGAAACGGAAAGAAGGTACCAAATTTTTTATGTATAAGAAGAAGAATTGTATTAAAAAAATATTTTCTTTTAAATACATTACATATGATTTACATTTAATCATTCATATTATGCAAGGTAATGGAAATAACATAATGCGTGTTTTCATAATGATACGAATTGATTTCTTTTCACTTCCCCTGCAAGTTAGCAATCCTACATGTCTAACCATGATTGAAATATGACTCCATATGTTTGCTTTTAACTGCATGTATACTGAGCAAGTCTATTAATATTCTAACAAAGGAAAACTTCAGTAAAATATATTTAAGTTTAATTCGAAAGATAACTATGCAGAATAAATATTTCAATCATTTTCACCAGACAAAAACTTACAAAGCCCTATTTTTATTGAGACTCATAGTAGTCAATCAGACTATCATGCATACCTACATTATATCTGAAATGATGATGTTTGTATTGATTTAACCTCACTATTGATATTGTCTTATTGGATAATATTTAAGCATTGCCTATCAACTTACAGAAAGTTTGTTAAAGTAAAATATAGTGTTTCCATATTTTTTTCATGGTAAATAGTGAATTAAAGGTATGGCTGTTACGATTATTTTAATGTTTGCTGTGCCCTTATCCTTTTATATATCAGAGGATTTAGTAGAGGCAAATGTTTTAAAACTAACAGTATAAATATATGCAGTATACTTATTTTATTTTAAAGAAGTAGAGCTAAAACCTGAAGAAAAAAACTTTTTTTTCCGGAACAAAATAAATTGTTTATAATCTTGACAGAAGTATAGAAGTATGTTATATTGATAATATGATATCAAAAACAGCTGTTAGAAAACATTATATCTAGAACAATGCAATGTTTCATTGCAAAGTGGAATGTTAATATTACATCAAAAAGAAGTGGAAATGGGGTCGGTGGCACCAAACTGCGCAAATATATGCAGTTAAAGACAACTTTTGGAACTGGAGTTTATTGCGAAATACTATCTTACTTTAAGGTATGTGCATTGTATATAAAAGAAACAAAAGAGATAAATGTTTTTACTGGAATGTAGGTTCCAAGATGAATGCTTTTTCTACACTAAGACTGTTATCTCTTGCAACTATCAAACATTGTTACTTACTTTTTCGAAAAATGAATATTATTTTATACTTTATATTGCCTTAGTTAAATTTAATTGGACAGTGCACAATTTTATAATTAAAGAGTCTTAGAAACATTTATTTGACAGGATATGGTTTTAAAAATGTCATTAATTGATTTATAATTCTAAGTATTAACGACCATAACATTATATATTGGACAAATATATGTTGCATCTGTATGACTAAACCAATGTATTATTGTATTGATAGAGCATATGTTTATGTAAATTATGTTGAGGAAAACAAACCTTAGTAAGTCATTGATATATAATTAAGTTGGTAACATTTTTAGAATGTCAAGTATAAAGTATAACAAATTACATACTTTCCAATGTTAAATGAAAATGGTCAATTATTTCTCTTACCATTCATTATGTCCACATTTAAACGTTTACTATTGTTTAAGTCATTGTGTCCCATTTTATACCACAATGTTAACTTCTGTAAGAAAAACATACAATCGTGTGAAAATATTGATGTTATGTCTTTAAAATATAACATGAGCTTTTAATGAATAAAAAAATGTGTAGGTAGGAGGGACAATTCCTCAGTGCATAAGACATTAAACTGCTGTGATATGGTCTGTGGAGTTACATAAGTAAATAGTCTCTTGTAATACTGTTTAGAATGGCTTTTCATGTATTTTATGTTTGTGTTTTATGTTTTATATATATTTTATGTATACATGTAAAGATAAGACTTAAATAAATAAATAAATAAATCAGTCATAAATAAATGTAATATAAAAATTGAACTCAATAATGGAAAAGTTTCTGCACTGACCTTTTGCACTTCGACGTGCACAGTGCCACTTTAAGTGAAAATTATCTCGTACTTAACGATAGTAAGATTACGATTTTATGTAAACATAATTGTCCGTATTTATTGATTTATTTCATTTAAAGAAATTTTCTTTTATTTTGAGGAACTTATTGTTTATTTTATTCATCTCATTTTCAGCAACTGGGAGACATATGTATCATATAATTAAGTGAAGGTATTCTGAATAAAGAGATAATTTATCGTGACAAAGAAATATTTTTCTAGTTTATACTATTTAAAGTGTAGGAAGTTATATTTCTTCTATAATAGTGTATAGTGTATAACATGTTTCTTTGAATCATGAAAATTAATTATTCTAAGGTCCCTTATTACAAGGTGTATAAAAAATATTTGTGTATACTCCTTTAAGAGTGAATAGCACATGCACGGAATCAGTGCCAAACGGTTAAAATTCATTCGTAGAATAGTAGCATGATATTCTATTTCGGAACATTTAGTCTTTTTGTATTAACAATACATGTGTGTTAATTGACAGATAGATGTAAAAACATGTTATGCATAAATGCTTTGAACATAGTGGTAATGTGTCGTGCGCAACAATCGGGTTTCTAGTTCAAGAGTCAAGATCACACTTTTAAATCAAAAGTTTAATAACACGGTGATAGGGCGTTTACCACAACTTTTCCGCGCAACGTCAAAAATATCTTACTTCTGTCCCAGACACCGTGTTTTTCTGTCACACAAAATGGACAGCAAGCCTGTAAACGAGACAAAAACAGAAGATTGTTTGCTCAAAACAAGGTAAAATCATCATTTCTTCTTTTTCATCGAATGTGCCATTCAATCTGAAACTTATTTATCTTTACTACATGCAAAATACTTCACTAACTAAGTCAGGATAGTGTAACTAAGTCAGGATAGTGAAAACATTTAGGGCATGCTGAAAAAGATATTGCTTTAATTATAAATATAACGTCTTTCTCGTCCGTTCAGTCTATATAACCGGTCAAGATACAATATAAATATGTACACTATTGTCGTTTGAACAAGTTACACCACCTAAATTACCCGTTTTTGTATATTTGGCATGATTTTTATGTTTCCATGTGTATATTTTAATACACCGCACAACTTTGACAATTATAAGATTAGGACACCGCTTTATTCGTCCTTAAAATCACCGCATTTTCTGTATTTTTAGCACCGTTTATTTTTGACATTTGACAAAATTTTTGTTTGCTTTCAGAAAAAAGGAGACGTTCAAACCTATATCTGAACAAACCAAAGCAATGTGCGAAATTGGCAAAACTACATTTACTTTCAGGAGTTACTGAAGCATGTTGAAGCATGTTGGAGTATGAGTGTGCCAACTAGGGAGCGCCCAACTAAGCCTTCTTGTATCAGCAGTACGCCAATTGATCAGATCCTCCCTGCAGTTCAGGACGATATGCTAAATGTACCACATAGGGCCTAAAATAAAATTTCATTTCTTTCCCATTACCTACCTAGCCAACAAATTTGCCCCTACCCAAAAGATCTTTTCATGTTCGTAAGGGATGAAAGTATATCGAGTACATTAGGTACAATCTAATCTGATATTTTAGACAGCTAGCATTTAGTTAATAAATTGTTGCATATGTCAGTTGTGAAAATGTTAATGTATGTGTAAATGTATTAGTGTCGTCTGACGGAAGTATTGGCCAGATTGAGTTAATCGATGAATCATCTGAATCAGTTGGGAAATGATTATTGAAGGAAACACTTTACACAACTCAATGCTTGGTAACCTCGGTTGAAGAATGATCCTTCCATGCCTGAATAAATTCGAAAAAGAAAAGACTTACTTATCCATATAGATACCATTGCACTTATCTAACTGGTAGTATTTACATAGATCAGACCTTCTGAAGTTGTTCCATAAAATAACATGACTGTGATAACATCAACATAACAGCAAGTAAACAGTATTCCATCAAATAAAACATATTTGTAAGAAGATCTATATAATTCTACAGTAACTTATAAAGTACTGTGCAAAAGAAAATGGTGCCAGTATTTATCGGTCTAACGGAACAAGAATGCGGCATTTGAGATCAGTGTTGTACGGTGCTCCAATATGCTGGTCAATAATCCTTTTTTCAACATATATTCCCTAAAACTTACAATAGAAACACACAATTTTGTATGGATCTTGAATTTATGCTTAACCGTAATATATATACGAGCTCATTAGGTCAAAGAACAAATACATCGTCGTTATAACACATGTTTTTGTGACAAGTACGAGACATGTTTAGGGAGACACGATCTTTTTTAAAAACTATTTCTTCGAAGTATGCATTTTTTGTGAATTTTGTTGTGCTAGATTAAGGATAAATTGTTTAAAAAATTCGATGGAATACTTAAACAGTTGGAATAATTTTGCAATGTCCAGCAGAAAGATAATTTGCAAGCTATTACCTGCAATTTGGTTATCCCGCCATTAATATTTTGTACAGAAATATAAGGTGTCTCGGTCAGAAGGATAATATTTTGACGTTGCGCGGAAAAGTTGTGGCAAACGCCCAATCACCGTAAATAAAGTTCCACTGATGTTCGTCGCCAGACAAAAGTAATGTTATTTCTAATTGGATTTTAAAAAAATTGCGCATTAATGTATGCGTAAATGGCCTCACTTAACGGCCATATTTGTCGAGTTTCTTATTAGTATAACTGAAACATGCCATTATCAATGTAAGAACACAGTACCAGTCTTAATGCTCAAGCAAATTGCATGTCATTTCTGATTAGAAAATGTAGTCTCAATAAGATTATAATTTGTTTCCTTTCCAATCCTCGTACATTCAATTAGGGATGTTATATATTCCGATTCTTAAAGATTTTATTAAACGACATTATTGTTGTTCGTGGTATTGTAAGTTTTAACTTTTGGCATTTTCTAGTTAGATGGTTCCAGTATTTTTTCATGAATAATGTTATATCACACTTATGATATGTTGCCTGCTTTATGTGCCCCCACTTTAGTGGCGGGCATTTAGATTAACCATTGTCCGTCCGTCCGTCCTTCCGTCCGTCCGTCTCTTTTGTGTCGCACGTTACTCAAAAAGTAT